CCCCAACAACAAAGATGGCCTCTCCCGTCGCACCCGTCACCAAGTTGAGTCTGCGTGTTCGCAACAAGGCCCTGTCGAGGGCGCACGTTCGTGTGGTGGAGGCGAGGGAGCGGCAGGTGGTGGAACAGGAGCTCGAGAGGGCCACCGAGAAGGAACTGAAGATGACCCTGGGGGGTGGGATCAGTGCTGAGGTCGGTGGCCTAGAGATTGGCCTGGAGGCCAAAAGGGGCAAAGAAACACGTACGTGACAGCATGCACCAGAATGCACGGCGGAGGTCTCGGCGGTAGGCACTCTTTTCTGGGGATGTTCAGGTGACAAGACGGAAGAGAAGGCTGTCGTCCGCATTCAGTACGGCAAGCTCAGGGAGTCACGCGACTGGTGAGAGGGGAGCTAGCTCTTTGTCCCGTGAGACCACGCTTGTCCCTTCCTATCAGGATAACGATTGATCCCGGCGAGGAGGCCATTTTGTCAAGCTTCGACTCCCCGTACATCTCAATCATCATCGAAGACTCGGACTATCAGCTGCTCAATCAGCTCATACACCCAGAAGAGCACAAATATGCCATCGCACTCAGAAGGGTGAGAGAAGCCAGTTGAGAGGCGCCCTTTAGTCACCTATGGCTGCTCTCCCTTTTCTAGGCCAACCCTCCATTTGTATCTCTCGTGATTGATGCCGTCGAGGTTGCAAATGTCGAAGCCAAGCAGAAGGCTTTCCGTCTGAACAACATCGTGACGAAGCTTGTGTTGACCGCAGTCGAAAGCATGGGCCGCGGCATGTCGGTGGGGGTGGAGCCGAAGAAGAAGCGGGAGACACATGAGGAGGCCGATGTCTCGCGGCTGTGGATCCGACAAATGGACACTCTCTGCCCCAAGGGCGCTTTCCGTTTGGTCCCGGTGGCATTTCCCGACAAGACGCTGGCGGTCAGCCCATTGCTGGGCAACAGCCTCGTCCTTGATGTGCCAACGGTTGAGACAGATGCCAAGGACAGTAAAGAGGAAGCACGATACGAGCAGTGGATCATGCTCTCAGCTGAGACGCAAGAGATTGCCCAGCCGAGGACAGACAGAGGCTGGTGCAGTTCGTTCTGCTGTCAGCCCTCCAAAGATCAGCTGCTCGTGTCGCCCGACATGGAGTTCCAGCCCGCGAAGGAGCAGAGGAGGGGAAGCAGCAAGTTCGATGACGAGACAGTGACCATCAAGTGTGTTGGGCTGCCGGACCATGTGATGAGTGTCAAAACGTTTGGGAGAAGCAAGAATCTGGTGATGACGAAGGGAGACGAAGGAGTCCCCGTGGAGGCCCTGTGGCGCTGCAGCCAGCCGATTGTGACCAAGAAGGGTAGCAAAAGCAATGCCACAAACCGTATAAACGACATTGTTATCTTTTTATGCTGCCTCCTTGCTTAAGCTGCGCTCAAAGGGGCTACCGCGACGGACACTGAAGAGGTCGGTGGCATCGCACTCGTTAAGCACGGCAGCTAGCGTTTCATTGACCCTCTGATTGACCCAGATGAGCCTATTCGAGGCTTCTGCGGAGGGCAATTTGGAGGCTGTCTTGCGGATCATTCAGACCAAAGGCGTCAAATGCCTGCAGGAGACCGACGAGGTGAGACACACCGCTTGACATGGCAATGATGGGAACGTGACTGGTGTTTCGTGGCTTTGCAGGAGGGCTTCACGGCGCTGCACTTCGCCGCCCAAAATGGTCATGAAGACATTGTCAGAGAGATAGTGACCAAAGGCGGCAAAGAACTCATCAAAAAGAGAACCATCGTACAGGTGAGCTGAGACACAGCATGGCGAGCGACATCCAACAGCAACAGCCATCTTCATGTTCATTAGAATGAGCCTACAGCGTTGCATATGGCGATTGAGAAGGGTCATACACCAGTCGTCGCCGCGCTTGTCGAGCTCGGAGGGGCCGATGTCTTGTTTTTTCAGAGATGGGGTGCGAAAGAAGCAGTGCTCCCTACATTGTCTTCACCATTCTATTGTGCGGTATCCTATCGAACTTTATCTTGACTGTATTTCCTGCAGAATAAGGACACGCCTTTTTACACTGCTGCGCGATGTGGTGAAGTCGATGCGCTGACGGTGATGCATGCGAAAGGAGGTCGAAGCCTGCTGGAGCAGCAGTCGGATGTAAAGAGGACATACCTTTGGACATACATGATTGCTTCCCGTGTGCATCTGTGTGTGGGATGCAGGGCGAATATGCCATTCATTCCGCAGTCGCAAAGGGCCATCTCACTGTGGTCAATCAGCTCTTATCGTGGGGCGGAAAGGCGCAGCTCGACAACCTCAACAGCGTAAAGCCCTGTGCACTGCGCATTGTCTTGGACATGATCTTGTTATGCTTTGCTTGGCGACTGCAGAACCGTCACACACCCTTCCTTCTTGCTGCGTGGGCTGGTCATGTGGATGTGTTGCGAGCGATTTTCGCCAAAGGGGGTGGCAAACCCTTACTGGAACAACAGAATCCAGTAAGGGGAGGAAGCCAATATCAACAAGTGTCAAGTGCGTGTCTATGATTATGACCACAGTTGGGCAGCTATGCGGTCCACTTGGCAGCTATAATGGGCCATGTTGATGCGCTTCAGCAGGTGCTGGAGTAAGGAGGAAAAGCCGAGCTCAACAAACGCGATAAGGTTGGCCAGTGGAGCATACATCGCACACATTGCCTTTGTGTGTGATTCAGGATGACTATTTCCCCATCCATCGAGCAGCTGAGAAAGGCCATCTTGATGTAGTCAAGAAATTGATTGAGTGGGGAGGAAAGGCTGAGGTCTACAGACGCGATAGCGTAAGCCAACTTAGAAAATGCGACAGGCCAACTTGGATGAAAATGTAGTGTGGAGACTTCCCCATCCGAGTTGCCGCCAGGAGTGGCGACCTAGCTACGTTCAACTACTTGATCGATCTTGGCGGGATTCAGCAGATAGACGAGTGCAGCTTTCATGTGAGCGATAAGACCTTCAGTTATCGCATCTTCCTCTTGCTTTCTTTCCTATCCCGCGTATCCTTTTCCTCTTGCTTTCCTTCAGCTTTTCAACGATGCTGCAATGGGGGGCAATGTTGACATTCTGAAAACGATTCGCACCAGAAGAGGCCCGGGGGTCGTGAAAGCAAAGGGAAGGGTAAGAGAAAGAGAGAAAGCGGCGCATATGTGCATTGTAGGGTCCTTGGTTTTGGATGTAATGCAGTTTCTCCTCTCTGCGCTCCATTACGCAGCTTCGGAAGGTCACGCTGCCGCAGTCGCCCAGCTGCTCGAATGGGGATGCGCTGACGAAATCGATAAGCCTGATTGTGTATGCTTTCATTCAAAGCTTCAAGGCCGTTGCGACTTTCTTTGCTTTTTCCCTTCGTGGCAGCGATCCCTGACCCCATTTCATCTTGGAGCTTTCTGCGGGCGTCTGGATGTGCTCAAAGTGCTGTACTCTAAATTTGGAGAGCGCCTGCTTGAGCAAAGAGACGAGGTCCTGGAAGCTACCGTGACGGTTGATGTATGTACTGGTTTCTGTTGTGGATGTGTGGACAGGCTGGCCAATTCGCCATCCACCTCGCAGCTGGGGAATTCAATGACAACGCTGATGTGGTCACTCAGCTGATCGAGTGGGGCGGCATAAAGGAGCTCGAAAAGAAAAGACACGTAAGTGTTCTTTGTGTCGGTCGAGAAGCAGGTGCCTGCACTTGATGGCTATGGCTGCAGGACGGTTTGACACTCTTCGGTGTGGCTGCGCTCTGTGGTCGCGCCGATGCGTTGAGGGCGATGCATGCCAAGGGAGGCCAGGCACTCCTGTCTCAGAAGGAAGAAGATGTAAGATCACAGGACTGATTCCCATCGACAGCATGATGGTTCAGATGCGTGTGTACGTGTATCTAATGTAGTCGGGCAACTTCCCCATCCATGCAGCTGCTGGCGGCAGTTCGGGCGATGCAGGTCGTGATACTCTAGGTCATGTCGCTGTGGTGAGGCAGCTGGTGGACTGGGGCGGCCTTGAGGAGCTCGACCGCTGCGATGAAGTAATGGCATTCTCCAAATGCAATGCATTCTTGACTTTGCCTGACTATGGCTGCGATTTATTCTGCAGTACGGAAACACACCGTTCCATCTCGCGGCGTTGTGTGGTTGCATTTTTGTGATGGAGGCGATGTACGCCAAGGCCGGGAAGGCGCTGCTGGACAAGCAGAGAAAAGTGAGAAAACGCAGCTTACAACAGGCTGACTCGCTTGTCCTGTGCCATGTTTTCCTCTTGCCTGTGTATTCATGTGTGATGCAGGGTGGCTATTTCCCCATTCACTGGGCAGCCGACAAGGGTCACGTGGCTGTGGTCAATCAGCTCGTCGAGTGGAAGGGCACAAAGGAGCTCGACAAATGCGATGTTGTCAGTCAACCACCTGAGATGCACTGACAAGAGGTGGCTGCCTGACTGTGTCTGCTGTTTATTCTGCAGAACGACAACACACCCCTCCACTGTGCTGCGTCGGGCGGTCACGTCTCTGTGATTGAGGCGATGTACGCCAAGGGCGGGAAGACGCTGCTGGACAAGCAGAACAAAGTGAGGATAGACACAGCTCGCGACATCGTTTCCTGTGTCGTGAGCTTCTTCCTGCTTGTGTGTATTTGTGTGTGTGATGCAGGATGGCTATTTCGCCATTCACTGGGCAGCCGACAAAGGTCATGTCGGTGCCGTGGAGCGGCTGATCGAGTTTGGTGGGACAGAAGAGCTCGACAAGCGTGACAAAGTACGGCACCCTCCCCCTCCATACAATGCATCGAGATGGATTTCCTGGAATGTTTGGGTGTCCATGGTGCAGGACGATGACACACCCCTCCACCGCGCTGCGCTGGGCGGTCACGTCTCTGTGATTGAGGCGATGTACGCCAAGGGCGGGAAGACGCTGCTGGACAAGCAGAACAAAGTGAGAAGAAACGCAGCTCGCGACAGAGTTTGCTGTGCCGTGAGCTTCTTCCTGCCTGTGTGTATTTGTGTGTGTGATGCAGAAGGGCAGGTTTCCATCCACTTCGCAGCCGACAAAGGTCATGTCGATGCCGTGGAGCGGCTGATCGAGTTTGGTGGGACAGAGGAGCTCGACAAGCGTGACAATGTAACGCACCCTCCTCCTTCAAACAATACATCGAGATGGATTTCCTACCATGTTTGGCTGTCCATGCTGCAGGACGATAACACACCTTTCCACCAGGCTGCAATATGTGGTCGCGTCTCTGTGATTGACGCAATGCATGCGCATCGCGGCCAGTCGCTACTTGACACATATGGAAACTACAAGGTGAGAGGTACACACTTTGATAGACATGGCTGCATGTGTCCTCCTGCACATGTGCAATGCAGGCTTTCCCTATTCATCTGTGCGTGGCCGGTACGGCAACAGAAGGCGATACTCCAGGCCATGTTGCTGTATGTAAACGATTGATGGAGTTGGGTGGAAAAGTGGAGCTCGACAAGCGAGATGAGGTAATTCTTGTCGCTACTTGATGCATTCGCAAACCCTTTTCTTCACACAGGGCTTGGGCACTACTCCCTTTCACACTGCCGTATTCAATGGCTACGTTGAGCTAATGAAGACTATGTTTGCGGTGGGTGGCAAACCGCTACTGGACGCGAGGAGCAATGTAAGGAAGACAGAATGTCATATTTTCTCACCTGAGTGTTTGAATGTGAGTCAGAAGGGCTCATTACCGATTCATCAAACAGAAGGCGCCCATACTGTTTCCAGCCGCCATATCGCAGCCATGAAGCAGCTGATTGAGTGGGGAGGCGTCAAGCAGCTGAAAGAGAAAACCAGCGCTGTAAGCAGTGCCCCCATCAGTCCATTCGTATGCCTTGATTTGTTGTGTGCGTGTGCGTCACAGGGCAACACTCCCTTTCACACTGCCGCGTTCAATGGTTCCATTGAGCTAATGAACACTATGTATGCGGTGGGTGGCAAACCGCTACTGGACGCGAGGAACAATGTAAGTGAAGAAGAAGACAGAATGTCATATTTTCGCACCTTCAGTGTTTGAATGTGAGTCAGGATGGCGAATTACCGATTCATCGAGCAGCAGGCTGCGATACTGTTTCCAGCCGCCATATCGCAGCCATGAAGCAGCTGATCGAGTGGGGGGGCGTCAAGCAGCTGAAAGAGAAAACCAAGGCTGTAAGCTGCATTCCATGCCGTCAGCCTTTTCTCTGCCCTCATTCGTTTTGTACATGTGCGTCATGCAGGGCAAGACCCCGCTGGACCTTGCGCAGAGCGACGAAATGCGCAGGCTCCTCAGCAGCTACAAATAGGCAGGCTCCTGGTCACTGGTGTATAGGGCTGCCGTACGTCAGTGGGTCTTCTTGCATATGTCTGTCTACCTGAACAGAGACACCATTGAAATAGCCATGCACTGCCGTGCCCTTGGTGAAAAATCCAGTGTAGACTGGCTGTGGTGCACGGGTGGATAGAGGTTGGGGAAGAAGGCACGAAGCCAGGCTCAGGATGACCTGGAAACGCACATGAGAACACGATTTGCGACCGCCAACCCTCCGTCTGCGCCACTGCATACTTCACAGCCGAGTTCTGTCGATAATGACGCTCAAGCACCAACACAAAAGTAATGCTTTGTCGGTGTCTCCTGTGTCTCTGTGTCTGCCTGTATGCTACTCTATGCTTGTCAGCAGCGGAGGATTCCTTGGCAATCACATTCACAAAGACACATGATGTCTTGGCGGTCGCCAACGCGAGTGTGTCTGCCACGGTGCATGCTAGTCGTGCACACGTCAACGCACAAAATACGTAAGCCCCACGCATCTTCAGGGTTTGTGGAAGGCTCCTCGGGAGGAGACACATCGCTTAAAGTCACGCCAGCAGCTAGTACCTACCAGAGGAGCCACTCTGTGCACTCACCGGCAGCTGCTCGGGTGGGGCGGGTAAGGCCTGTCATGGTTTTATCGACCTGATCGATAAGCAGATGTGAACTCCGTGCATCGTGAAACACGATTTACGAGATGGTACCGTTGAGCTGTGCATCCACTGATCGCAGTGATTCTCATCCTGTGTGTGCAATTTTCGCCACGGCAAGAAGAGACAGAGCAATGAGCGCGCGAAGAGAGCTCAGAAGATCGAGACATGTAGTTGGATTGGAATGTCTTTATGGACAGTCAAGTGGCTTACGATGGCTGGGATTGTCAGTACGTCATCAGTGCATTGCCATTGCAATGGTGACGATGTGTGTAGTGTCACATACACACACGTGTGACTGAGGGGCCAATGCGTGTGTGTGTGTCTGTGTGTACCTCTTTGCCCGCCTGAGTCTGTGTGTGTGTATGTGTGTGTGTGTGTGTGCGCTTCTAGTGAAACACTCATTCACCCATGTCATGTGTATCCATCCGAGCGTAGGGCGGATGCGCGGGCTGTTTTGGTTATGAGAGGACAATAAGCAGTGTGGGTGTGGTGAATTGAGAGATGGGTAGGTAGGTGCGGCTGATGAAGCCCTCGGCGGCCGGTCTCGGGAGCTAAGTCTTTTGTCGGGCTTGTTCACGTGAGCATAAGACGGTCCGCTTTGTATCCATATGTACAGATAGAGAGACATGCAGTCAGTGTCTGTTCTGGCCCATCACGCATGTCGGTGGTGTCCGTACCCGTCATGAAATTGCTTGAAAGAAAATAAGAACGCATGAATTGAATGGAGCGCTCTCTCTCTCTTTCTCCGTGAGGGGTGGATATATAAACGACCAACCGACCGACCGATCGATGAATGTATAAAGCGTGTATACACGTGTGCTCTCTTCCTCTCACTCTCTTGCTACGCGTTTTATGTGTGTCTTAGGGGGTGTGTCTATGCTATTCAGGGAGATAGGACGCAATCTCAGAATCCCCCGTCGTGTCCCTTGCAGGTTTTGGCTATAAGAAGAGGCAACACACAAGACACATTATCCATGAATTCGGCTGTAAATTCAATTTGAAGAGCTGGTGGAAGGAAGGAGGATGTACATTCGGGCTGCCCCAGCGGCCCCGGCCGCCGCCGCCGTTAAGGCGAATCGCAGTCGGTCAAGCCAGGTAACTCCTGCATGCACGACTCCTCCTTGCTGCACATGATAAGCAATGCCATTGGCTCTTCCTATCTGGACGTGATGCGTTGTTGTGCATTCACGAGTGCAGCCCCTGCCTGAGGTGGACCCAAAGGTGACGAACTTTCTGTCCGACATGGAGGAGGATGTGCCGGAGGACATCCTGCGGTGCCCCATCACGCTGCAGCCGCTTCGACGGCCCGTCGTCACGCCCAGCGGCAATGTTAGCTCATCACCGACATGCATCCATCGATGCGCATCACGCCGCTGGTTTGTACCTCTTCAAACGCATTCTGTGCCCTGAATGCAGACGTATGAGTACAGTCCGCTGAAGAAGCTGATCCGCGAGAACCCCCAGATGGCCAAGTCGCCCCAGACGCGCCAGCCGCTGAAGTTGAAGGACCTCCGCCCCAACCGCTACGCCGTCAACCAAATCGAACAGCGGGCCAAACAGGTGCGGACAAGGGAGGGAGGGGGGGAGGGATTGCGACGTTCTGATGGATCTGAGATTTTCTCTGTTATGCCGTTGTCAGCTGATGAAGGAGTATCAGGTGCCCGAGGAGGATGGGAAGGAGAAAGCGGAGGCGGCGACCAGCTCATCGAGCGCCATGCCAGGACTCAACCAGACCATTCGTACGCACATCAGCACAAAGGGGAAGAACGACCGCAAACAAATGTGTCTGTGTCTGTGTGTCTGCAGGCGGCCTCAACCAGTGCCGCACGTATCTGAGCGACTTCTGGAAGGGCTATAATGGCACGGTGTACCAGCTCAGCGGCATAGCCAAGGAGTCCTTCGAGCCACCCCGGGCAATTGTAGACTACGTACGAAGCGAAAGAGACACTCACACTCACAACAGAGGGAGAATTGCCCATCTCTGTCGTGTGTGTGTGTCTCCGTGTGTATGTGTTGGCTGCAGCTGGAGAGGGATAGCGAGTTGACGTTGCAGCTGCTCCAGTGGCACAAGACGGAGAGCAAAAACTACATACCAAAAGGGGTACGCACCCACATACCAAGGCGTAGACGTGCAGACGCATAAGACACATATGGTGGTGGTGGTGGTGTGCAGTTTACTCACCGACATCAGAGCATCGTCCCCCGCGAGTTGGAGACGGCCGTGGTGGCATGGCTGGACGAGCAGGACATCAGCAGAAGCATGTCAGGCTCCACCCGCCGGGCCAGGAGGGCCTCTCGGCCGCTGTCGAGCTTCGGATACGCCATAGTGATAGACGCCTTCAATTCGAGCGGGTGTTTCAGTCCTCCGCGGGCGGGGCGGTGCGGGTACGCATACACAGCAGCCCATGTAGCCATTCGAGCCACCATGAGCATGTTTTTGTGTGTCAGGTTGTGTTGTCGTTTAGTGGCTGGCGATGGGGGGCCCGGCACTGCACGGTGCCGGGCAACAAGGACGGCAACTACCTCCTGGACACATGTGAGTGAGCAGACAGACAACAGAGAAAAAAGCGGGAAGACAAGTATGGTTGGTCTCTCTCTCTCTCTCTCCGTGTCTGTCTGTCTGTCTGTCTTCCTGTGGTTTCACAAGACCGTCCGATGTCGCTGCATCGTCAGTCGACCTATCTGACGTGGGATGGCGTCCACGAAGTGGACCCCAACCTGACATTGGCCGCCATGAAGGCCCTGAGGCGCACGAACGCAGAGGCTCCGGGAGACCTCCGACTCGAGATCAAAAAGAGGGAGTGAGCCAGAGCTAGATAGACTGGGGGAAGGAAGTGTGGGGAGGGGGTGTCTGTCGAATCGATTGTGTGTTCTTCCCTGGTGGGTGCATTCAGTGCTGATGATGGATGGATGGATGGATGTGTGGAGTGGTGATGTCGTGGCAGATGGGATGTGTGCAGCGGGGTGGGTGGGGCACACAATTCACGCGAATGTTTGATGGAATGGACTGGTTTCTCTGTGTATGTCTGGTGAGTCTGTCTGCACTGCAAATCTTGCTTTCGCATTGCTGGTTGACACATCAAACACATCAAACGTGTCGCACATTCCCCACAGTAGCCACACGCTCGATGGCTGTCTCTCTCTGTGTGGCCTGCCGCGTCGAGGCCGGCGTCGAATCGATGACGGGTCCCCCGACACGTAAGGCCACACACAGATGGCTGGCTGTCGAGTAGCTCACACACACATGCAAGAGACCCGTTGTAGACACTCACACATCCATCCATTTATCCATCCATCGTGCCTGCCACCTATCGCAGCGTAAAACGCACTCGCTCGCTGATGAAGCTGCCCGGAGCGCACAGCTAAGTGCACAGTACAAAAGCATCGATCGTACACCTACCTACACCAACAGGGAGGGACTCTTGAACAAATACATACATACCCGCATACGCACCAAGGCTGTCCATCTATCGGTGAGGTCAGTCATCCGATGATGCCGCCTCCCTCGTATTTCTTGGCGTTCTTGGCGTTGTTGCTCCAGTCGTACTTGGTGTACCTCACCCTGTACCCTCCGGTGGCCAGCAGCCCCTCGACGGCGGCCTTCTTGTCCCCCCTGCACCAGTCCGCCGCCTTGGTCAGCACCTCCTTGGTGTTCGCACCAAAGTCAGCCGCATACCTGACAAACGACACACGACAGACAGAAACATAACAAAAGGACTGAAGTGAGTGGAGGGACACACTGATGGGCAGGTGTGTGGAAGGTATGTGGCTCACGGGCGTACCAGTCGAATATTTTGGAGAGGAAGATGGTTTTGGCGGCCCTGTCGACGCTGACGTTCTCGTCCATCTCGCAGAAGGCCTGGGCCGCGATACGCAACTCCTCCTGACACACCACAGACACATTCACACACGCCCCCATCCAAACACGTCATTCGCCTGATGTGGTGCCTGCGGCGTGTGAGTGCGCCTTTGCTCACATCGATGGCCTCAGCAGTGAAGTTCTTGACTGGCGGGCAAGACTTTGCACCGCAGTTGAGAGCAAAATGGATCCGACAATCCACCTGACACAAACCAACACACTCACTTGTGCGATTCCTGTTTGGTCAGGGAGGGGCCGTACCTCTGGTAGCGCCCAGTTTCCCCTCGGGTCGTTGGGCTTGAAGTGTTTGTTCAGGTGGGAGGGCGCCTTCCTGTTTGCGCGAAGGATGCCGTTCTCGAGCTCGCTCATGGTGAACCGATGACCGCCGATCTCATACGCCGGGTTGTCGAAAAACGACATCCGCGCAAAACCGCTCATCGGCACACCCACCTGTACACACACACACACAGGTCGAGAATGCCCTCTGTCTGTCTGTCTGTCTGTGTGTGTGTATGTATGTCTTCTTTACCTGTGCGAACGCGTGAATGACCATCATGTTGTAGAGGTTGATGCCGAAGGCGAGTTTCTCGTCGCGGCTGAGCTTCCCGAAGGGCACCTTCTGAATCTCACACGTCAGGTTCTGGAATTCGCGAAAGGCCGGGTCGGATGTCAGCTGCGCCAAGTCGAGCATCCCCTCGTTGTCGAGATACTTGCTCTGCAGACACGTCAAACACGCCCACACGATGGTGTGATTGTGATTTTGCGCTATCCCTTGCCCAGATGCGCACCTGCAGCGATGAGAGGGCGGCTTTGCAGCCCTTGATGACCTGCATGGCCGGCCGGGCCGTGGGCTCGTCCCACCGCTTGAGGTTGTTCAGCAGCTGGGGGTCCTCGTGCAGATGGAACCGATAAAACAGATAGTCGTCCTTGAAGTGGTGGTCCTTGCACACGTGGCTGAAGAAACACGACAGGAACAGCTGCTGACCCACCTGCGCACACACACCAACAGAGAGAGAGAGAGAGAGATCACCAGACACACGGGCCTGCTGTGTGTCCTACGTGAGTGTGTGTGAGTGTGTGTGTGCGTACCTGGATGGCCTCCTCACGTAGTCTGAGTTGGAATCTTCTCAAGAGGTAGTCGACAAAGTCCTGTCCGACGAAGCAGTTCTTGTAGGTCTTGAGGTGGTACATGCGGTCCTTGATGTCCACCTCCTTCAAGAAGATGTCCATCAGCTCCGTGTACGTGTACTCCCTCTCACCTAATACAACACACACACACACACACACATGCATTCATCGGCCGATTGATTGCTGCCTGCTTCCTCCCTCTTGTTGTGGCCTACCGATGAAGAACTTGTCTTGCTCTAGAGCGGGCGGGGGCGCTTCATCTTTCGGCCGGTATGCAGGCCTCTGCAGCCGCTCGTCTGAGGGGGCCTCCTCCGCCAACATAGCTGCAGACAGACAGTCGGGCATTGGAACACACAGAGTGCTCCTGGCGGGTGACTCACCGGTGTACAGGGTGTCGAGCGCCCCTGATCTGTCCAGCTCGTCGATGTCGGCCGCACCGCCCAGGTGCTTGCTGTTGAAGAACACCTGAGGGACCGTCAGCCTGTCCGTCAACTGACGTAGGCAGACAGACACATGAGGCGGCCCGTCCATCACTGGCTGCCCGTGCGCTTGCCTGCAGCATGTCATTTCGCTTCTCGGGGTAGTCGGTGAGTGAGATCTCGATGAAATCCCATCCTTTCTCCTCGAACAAGCCCTTGACGCGCTTGCAGTGCGGACACGCTTTGAGCGAAAAGATAACGATGGCACCCATGATTCGAACGCCGTCAGCAGTGCTGCCGATTCAAACGCGCCGGCAGCCAGAGCTGAAAGGTCGAGCTCGCAATATTGCGAGCCCCGAAAATTGAGGGACGAAGGGAGAACAGCGATTTCAGCACTTTTGGAAGCTTCTGGCTACCGAATTGGTGCATTGGATGCTCGTCTGCTGCCGGGATGCCCATCGAAGCTTGAAATCTGTTCACCACTCACATCTGACTCAGCTGTCGACGTTTGCTCGCATTGGTCGGTCTTTTCCTCGCTCGACGCCGTGTGTTAGGCTTTCCGGCCCTCTGAAAGGAGGCCCCTTCTTGCCCCCCCGCCAGCGGTTCATGTTTCCCAACAGGGGCTATGCCGGTGAGCGCACGCAACCAATCCACAATTCCGGGCATCGAAAGCCCACCGTGTGTTGTCATTTTGTCCCCTCCAGCTCCCCCGAGCGGCTCTTCTCGCCCCGGTGCGGGTGTCCCATTCATTCCCCCCGCCCTGCCCACTCTCCGCCCTGTAGCTCCTCCGTCTGCCTCACCCCGAGGCTCGCCAGTGGGTGCCCGTCCCCCCTCCACCCCCCCACCCGTTGCCAGCGGGTCATTCAGCCCGCCCGTCATGCGACACCCAACCGCCACATACCTGCCGGGGCAGGGCCGGACCGGGGGTGTGTTCGTCACGCAGTCGTCGCTCATCACTCATGGGAGTGGGCCGGGGAGTGGGCCTGGGTCAACGCACTCGAGCATCATACTGACGCAGGTGGGCGTGGTGAGGGATGAATGGATGGGTGGCTGGACGCTGCATTTTGTGGATCTGTTTTGTTGGTGCTTCTTCAGTGGCCTCCGCCTTCTGGTGGTCGCGGGATGGAGACGCTCGTGTCGCCCAGGGTGGCTGGCAGGCCACAGCCGCCAAGCAGGTCAGACACACGGGCACACTGCCGCCCCATCAGTCATTCGATCGCGTTCTGCCACTGTTTTCTCTGTCTTCAGTGTGGTGTATTCGGTTCGCGGTCCCCCAGTGTTTGGCCCGCCATCGCCATCCCAGCGCAGTGTGGTGTTGTATGCACCCAGCCCCAGGGGTCAGGCTCCGATTCACATGGCTGCCGTCGCTGCCGCCCCGGCACAGCCGCATGTCGCTGCTGGATCGCCCGCACAGCAGTGAGCACAGGCGGAAGCGTGCATGGATGCGTGTATGCATGACTGTCTCTGTCTGTCTACGTCAGATATGCGTCTGCCTTCTCGAGGGTGGAGGCCACTCGCCAGCGGCTGGATGAGCTCATCAAGAGCCAACACGGCCTTGATGCTGCCGCCAGCAAGGTGAATGAGTCGCGGACAGAGAGCACGGACCATTGTCGAGGTATAAGAGAGTATATGTTTTGTGTCAGGATTTCGCGGCGCATGATGCGAACGAGGACAAGACGTTGCAGCGGAGTGAGGTCGAGGCGATGGTGAGGGACCTGGCTGTCAGGTACCAGATTCCCATGCCCGACAAAACCACACTCGAACGGTAGGCACGTCCAACAGACACACAAGAGGGGAAATCGGCAGGAGCTCGTGTGATGTGTACGTGTGTGTGGATCGATGGCTGTAGTCTGTTCAACAAGTTCGACACCGCTGGGACGAACGAGATCCCGCAGGCGTCGTTCCGCGACTTCTACAGAGAGATCCTGTGCTTTATCAAACAGTCCTACTACCCACCAGTCGTCAGGTCACAACACGCCGACGACCACACATACACCCATTCATTCACTCCCATTCTCTCTGTCTCTTTCTGTGTGTGCAGGTTTCGTCGTGAGTTCTTCATTCAGGAGAAGCAAGCCAAGCTGGATGACTTCTACACGCGCGAAGACAAGCTCGGCCAGGGGCAGTTCGGCATTGTCTTCAAAGTCAGGGAGAAACGGACCGGCACGGGCGAAATGGGTGGGTGGGTGGTGAGACACGACACGCAGATCAGCAAGAACAGAGGGAGACACGGGAGAGGTGTTCGGTCATGTGGGCGTGTGCAGGTCTGTTTCGTTGCTGCAAAACGATATCTAAGAGCAAGACAACGTGTCCGAGGGAGCTCATTGCCAACGAGATCGACGTGCTGAGACGGCTCGACCACCCTAACATTGTCAGTCAGTCAGTTATCACACTCAACGCAGAGAGACATCAAGCCATCTGTGAACATGTGTGTGTAGGTGCGTATGTACGAGGCGTTCGAGGACTACCAGAATCTGTACCTCATTTTCGAGCTCATCGACGGCAAAGAGCTGCTCGACATCATTCTTGATCTCGCAAGGGCAGGTCCGTGTGTGTGTGGTGGCTGGCAAAAAATGGTGAGACGAATGGCCTGCGTCTCTCTCTCTCTCTGTCTCTCTGTCTCTCTCTTTCTCTCTCTCTTTGTCTGTGCAGGTCAGGCGTTTGACGAGGCGCGTGCAGCGCGGGTGCTGCGGAGTGTATTGTCGGCCATCGCGCACTGTCACTCCAACAGGGTGATGCACAAGGACCTCAAGCCGGAAAACATCATGATCCTCAACAAAGACCTTGACGTGCTCGATGCCGGTCGGTCAGCCAGCCACCCAGCCACGCGAGATGTCTCAGAAAGACGAAGCATTTGTTGTATGATTGCAGGCAGCGTGAAGATGATCGATTTCGGTCTGGCTGAGATGTTCACGCCAGGTCACGTGTCGACCACTGCTGCTGGCACGCCCTACTACATGAGCCCCGAGGTCACACAAACACACACTTTGCTGGTGGAGTGAACGTCTCTGTGTGTGGAGCTGCAGGTGTTCCATCACAACTTCAACTACAAGTGCGACGTGTGGTCGGTGGGCGTGCTGCTCTACCTCATGCTCACCGCGCACCTGCCATTCGACGCGCCCAACAAAGAAGAATACATCAAGGTAAGGCCGCCCACCACACAGACAGAGAAGACCTCCTGCACACCATCATCTCTATCTCATGTGTGTCAGGTGGTGACCAACCAGCCGGTGTCGTTCCCGGACCACCTCTTCAAGAACATTTCAAAAGAGGCTGTGGAACTCCTGAAGCGTCTGCTGGAGAAAAAAGTCGAGCTGCGCCCCACGGCCGCACAGGCGCTGGACCACCCATGGTTCCAGAAGTTCCCTGACAAAGCACGTGGGTCTAACAGGAGGCTGGGCGAGCTCACCAGGCAAGGCACCGTCTTCCAAGTCTATGCTCAGGTGGGAGAGGGTGGGTGTTTCTGCCTACACACATTCACGTCGCGTACATTTCTCTCTCCTTGTTTTTCTGTGTCTGCAGAAGGATTGCTTTACGCGGATCTGTCTGAATCTGGTGGCCATGCACATGGAGTACTCGGCTGTGCGCCGGGCCCCTCGTGTGTTCAAGGCCCTCGATATCGACCACGACGGCATGATATCGGAGGAAGAGATGACCAAGGCACTCCAGGAAATTGGATGCCCTGAAGAGGTGAGAAGACACGAGACACCAGGCCACATGCACCATGTCTTCCTCTCTTTCTCTCTATCTCTCTGTGTCTCTGTGTGTGTCTCGTAGGACATCCCGCGGATTATTGATGCGTTGGACAGCGATGGCTCTGGGACCATTTCGTATTCTGAGTTTCTGGCCGCTCTTCTCAGCAAGGGTGACCTCCAGTTTGAGCAAAGCCTGTGGTCGGCTTTCAGGAAAGTACGCGAGACACCAAGAAAGGCACAGAGAGAGACACCACCTCACACAACACACGAGCCTCCTGGTATGTACGTCGGTTTGTCAGTTCGATTTGGATGGAGACGGTACGATCAGCCGTGAGGAGCTGTACAAGCTGCTGACGAGCACGGACGCCGTGCAGATCGACAGAGACAGGGACACGATCAACAAGATCCTGGAGGACCTCGACAAGAACAAGGACGGGCTGATCAACTTCGACGAGTTCAAATCCTACCTCATGAACCAGATCGGCAGGACCAGTACTGAAGACGACGTGCCTCTGCCGACGTCTGGCGAATCTTCTCCTGCCAAGTCGCCCAAGAGTACGTCGCCCAAATCTTCCCCAAAGGGGCAGCAGAAATCAGCAGGGGGCAGAAGGGGAAGCTAACTTGCTGCGGTTAGGTGGGTGCTTGGGTGGTTGGGTGATTGATTGGTGAGTGGTTGGTGAGTGGTCTTTTCTTATTGGCCCCCTCTCTTTCCCGTGTACGTGACGGCCTTTGCTGCGCTTGCACTTGTGTGTCTGTACACTTGTCCTTGACACATCGCTCCCTGTGAGCTTTTTCCGGTCAGCTGCTAGTAACTTTTTCGTGAAGGGGAGCTTCACATGTTGTGTGGTGGACATCGCGCCATTGTGTGTCACTGTCTGCTGGAAGGTGGGCGGATTGATGGACAGCATTGCCGCACGTCAGGTCTTATCTAATAAGTCGTCAATGTACACACAAGTGAGGGATTTCCGACCCGACCGGCCCGGCCGAATGCCTCACCCACTCGCCACACACAGCTGCCCGACAGAAGCTTTGGGAAAGGCTCACACAATCAGGGCGAAAGAGGGGAGAAAACGCCACCGGCCAGACTGACTGATGAAGGTGCACATGCATCCATCCACGCGCGCACCCAAACGCACACAAACTTGGAGTGCAACGAGCCGAATCAAATATACAGTCGAATGGATCTCCCTCTCTCCCTCTCTCCCTCTCTCTCCGTCCCGCCACTGTCTCTCTCTTTCTTTCCTTGTGTGTCTGTGTGCTTGCTTCTGTTGTTGTTGGTGTGAGAAAGTAGGGGTATGTGTGTCCGCCTTGGCTTGTGTGCGTTTTTGTCGATGAGCGTATGTGCTACGTTACGTTCCGTTGCAGCATGACAGATGCCGTTTCCGCTGTGTAATCGACGCCTGTGTGTCTGACATGACCGACCATCGCATGTTCCACCGTCTGGTCCATTCATCTCAGCTCATAATCTGGTTCGTGCGCCACCAGAGCAAACAGAAGGATGCACAGAATTGTATATGGAGAGAGACACGGCTGCCCAGCCCCAAATTCATGAATCTAGTATGTAGTCGCATCGGCGCCGACAAAGGTGTGCTCTGTCTTGTCGCTGTAGGGACACTGAAAGGAAAAATAGCAGATCGCGAACGAAGGCGATTGCGGGAAAAAGACCCCAGAACAGCAAGGTTCGCATCTCATAAGCAGGTCAAAGCCTATGCTCTATCAGCCCCCCTCCCCTCCCCCGACCCCCATCCCAACCCCTTTCCTATCTGAACACACTCTGTTCGTGAGATAGAACACACTCTCTTCGTGAAATAAGAATCGGAGATCAACAGATGGGAGATGGGAAAAATAGGTACCCACTGAGAATGCCATACGTGCGAAAAAGACCCCACATGCACCTGAATCATGTGTGCCCCTCACCATATGAAAGCCCTTGCTCACTCTCATCCAACTGGCCCTCACCCAACACCCCCTCGCTGACACCGCCCGAGACGTGGGCCGCCATCATGCGCTCTACACCCGTCATCAGCCTCTCCACATCGACACCGCCTTCATGCTCCGACTCGTAGGTCTGCGCAGATGTCTGGACAGACAAAAAGCGATGAGTACTGTCAGCAAAGGCTTCACATCAAGGTTTTTTGCCTACCGAGCGTGGTCTGCCGTGTCTTTCCTTTTGTTTCGCATTTTCGTAAGCCGCATATAGCTCACGCCATCCCCCAATGTGCTCATGCGTCTCAAGAACGTCATCTGTGCCAGTGACCGATTGCACAAAGCTCTTGTCTTCTTCTGAAAGACAGGACGACACACCTGGAAAATGCTTGGTCACTATTGTGAAACCCACTTGCAACGTTGCGCCCGGATGGACTCCTGACTTTCGGGCTCCTTGTGCGCTTGCTGAGGTGAATGTTTTCTTCGTACATGTTCTGAAACGTGACCAACTTGTCCACGACAAGCAGCAGTTTTGACTTTGAAATGAAGACACACATATACCCACACAAGCTGTGTGGACAAGAATGGAGGAGTGCCTCTACCGCGTCTACACCTGTAGGTCGTGCAATGTCATGCCGCTCTTGGCACAGTCAGCCGCAAACCTTCATTCACCGAGGCAGCACCCTCGATTGCACTTTGCTTCTCCACTGCATGTGACTCTGTGCTGACCTTTCAGAAGCCACGAAGGATTTGTCAGACTCCGCGAGATCCCTTACCCAAACAGAGCCTCGCCTCGTTTCCATTGTGCTCTGCTGACACAGCTGGCTGTGCGAGCTTTGGATGACCGGGCGCTCCTGGATGGCGACTGTGTCCACGGACGAGACCAGAGAGACACGCAATCCGATTTCTGCCAGCATTCTCCGCTCTCAGCTGACTTACCGTCCCGCGGCTCATCGGGAGAAATGCTTGGTTCCCGTCGCAGAGTCTGAAAAGTAAGCCAGCCATAGCAGTCTCACTCCATTCACTCCGCTTGTCTCACTTCCTTCTTCATGTATGGAGAGTGGAGGACAAAGCAATAGGACCAGAGGAAATCTAAGAAGTCCGGCGGGACCTGGCACGATCGATCGAGATGCAGAGCTTTTGTATCACACAGATTTTGTATCGGTCTCTCTGACCTCTTTGATTTGCAGCAGGTCGACGGCTTCTTGCATAGCTGCAGTCAGCATCCGCATCACCAACTCACGCTTTCTTGCAATCCACCACTCTTCCGTGCCCCCGCCACGGTACAGTGATTTCGCGAAGCGGACGACACCAGAGAGTCTGTCATACTGCGTCTTGCCGTGAATGACAATGTCAGGTGATGAAGCAGTGTTGTGTGACATGTTGTCGGTTGCAGGCTGTTCCATCAGGGAGAGTTTGCCGGTGTTCCAATCTAGCCAGACTTTGCCGAGCCTCATGCGTCGTTGCTCCTCCCTCCTTGTGTGCCACTCCAACAGCTGTCTCATGAGCCGGGATAAGCATGAGGCTATGGGCACGCAGGCAAGCACGGGGGCCTCTCGTAGGGAAAGTAGGGAGGAAAAGGCAGTCAGGCCTGCAGAACAAAGATGGAGATAGACACGGAGGTTCAGAATTATGTCAATGAGACAATTGCACCGCCCCACCGAATGTCGTGCGAACTCGTAGCGTCCGGTCGACGTTTTCCTTCTTTTCAGCAACTTGGGAGAGGGCATGGCGAAAGATAAGGGACAAGAGACTGAAGTAGTGGTAGAGGTTGAGAACCATGGCCAGCATCAACATCGAGACGTTGATGTACACTGCATCTCCGCGATTCACATCTCTGGGAAACAGGGGCACGTGGCACATGCAAGGGCATGACAGAAGCCCTCAGAAATATAGTCCGTCTTGAGTGATCACCTGGCCTCATGAAGGATGACAGACAGCAGCATAATTGACGCCAGCCAGATGATGAGACCTTGGCTTTCCATCCGATTGAGGAGGTTCATATGTCGGTGATCAAAGGGCGAGACGATCAGGTGGGCCGTGAGGCAGATAAATGCAACAATGGCCCAACAATGCAGCTGGAGGTTTGGGTCGTTCACCACCATGTGCGAAATGAGCAGCACCAACACGCGCCTGCATCCATCCAGTAGGAAGACGGTGATCACACAATAGAAGCGGTCTTCAAAGTTTACCTCAGAGCGAACACAGCGTCCTGCACGCCAAGAGGCAAAGGAAAGAAGAATAGACAACAAGTTCAGACAAAACATGCTTCTTTCTTTCAAGTGTTTGTGACCCAGTAGGCGTACGCCCGTTTATATCCCTGTCGGTCAACAGACACGTATACACATATTTGCATCGCTTGCCATTCCCTTACTCTGGCGTTGGAAACAGGTCTTTACCTGGTAGAGAAACCCAAATCTCTGCGGAATGCAGAGAACACAGAGATGCTTCTATACCGTGGAGCCTCTCTCGTTGTGGTTCCGTACCTTGCGCATTTTGGGGGAGTGCAGCTGGTCATGAATGCAGCAGAGTAGCACCACGCCGATTATGACTGGCGAGAAGCTCCACAACATAAGGCCCAAAACACCGATTCGGAAGAAATTGAGATGCAGGCCTTCCTGGCACCGCAGGTCCGGATTGACGTCGGGCCACGAAAGCAACTTGTTGCTATCTTTAATTTTGTGCTCCCGACATCGCAGCAGCATCAGCATGTTCCTTGTGACCGTCGGATGCGTGAAAGTCAGTATGATGATGAACAATGCCGCCCGCTGGTCCGCAGCTGTCTTCATTCTAGCACAGCAGTCTCGTCGGCCAACGCGGGCCACGTCGCGGGCCACGTCACGAGCCGCAACGTCGCGGGGCGTGTCGCGCGACTCGTCTCTGGCCACGTTGCGAGTCGCATCCTCCTGTGACGATGACCGCCGCTCGGCAGCTGTGGGTCGCCGTCGCCGCCAACAGCGTTGCAGACGTTTGTGACCCCACACGAAGACGGCGCCGATGGCTGGGATGACGATAAGGCAGACGAGCGGCACGGCAATCCAAGCCGCATGTCTCCACAGCACGGCATTATCGTCGCGATCCCACCGTGCTATGATGCACTCCCTGCAACACATAAACCACACACCCACATGTACACACAAAAGCGAACGGACGCGTCACACAACACACCAGGAGCCGTAGGCAAAGGGCATCCCTCCGTCCCAGGTGAAGAGGCGAGAAGTTGGCACGATGACCTTAGAGAGGTGCTTGACGTCGTAGGAAATCGATAGCACCAGCATGGCCAGCACACTTATCTGAAGAGAAAAGGCATTTGCAGATGCTCAGCTATGATGCATCCGCCTGCCTGCAACTATACCGATGTAAGATGGTTCAGGCCTAACTTGAAGAGTGCCTGTGGCAACAGGCAAACATACAGTAGTGACATACCAATACTAATGGAGAAATGGATTTACCGGAATCACGTCGTCGCGAGGCCTTGTCCCAGCTCTGCAGAAAAGGAGAAACCCAGATGGGCAGAGACACGGATGTGTGTACTTCTATGCGTGCACGCACCTTTCTGCAAGCCATGCGAGGCCGAAGATGGCCACGAGGGATGCGACAATCAGGGCAATGGCGGCCAGAATGTTCCAGTGTACTTCACCGCAAGGATGACACGGCTGTGTCGGCCCTCTTCTCGCATATTCCTTCTCGCACAGGCCACATACGAATCCCCGGTACTTGGATCCCTTCTCTGACTGCAAACATGGCCACAAATATGAGTAAACGTGGCTTATGCGCATCCCAACTTTACCAGGCATTTAGTCAGCCCTGTGTCTTCGTCCACGCCATCACATGCTTGCTTGAATGGACAGGGAATCACCACAGGAAGCGTCGTATTTTTGGCAGCATATCTGCAAATGAACACATGTGAAAGCTCCAATGCCACATGCCATACATATTTCCACTAGGCGCTCCTCACGTTGTCATTTTGTCGTCGTAGCTTAGCAGGTAAAACCCCTTCTTCGTGGGCACAAGGGAGCGATTCTTTATGGGTTCCTCGCAGTCGAGGCCCTGCATATCCTCGATGCACTTCTCGCATTTAAGTTTGTTGCTATGCCTGCGAAAGAGACACAGACACACAACAAGGAGATTTGCACGTCGCCTGTCAACTTCGGCTTACTTGATGAATCCATTTGTACAGTAACACAATTCCTTCTCTGTGCTGCCTTCTGGCGAGATTAGGTCGGCACCACACTGTTCGCAAGTTGCCTTGCCGTTTTCAATTTTGCCGTACTGTCCTGTAGCAACACAAAGCACCACGTTGTTTTTGTCTTTGTGGAACCAGATGAACAATCTACGGACATACCTGAAGGGCACTTCCGACATATGTCGTCGTCTCTTTCATACCCTATCTCACAATTCTTCTGGCACATTTTGGAGGCGTTTTTGAAATGGTCCTCTTTGCAGTCACACTCGTCTTTTCCAGCTTTAGACGCTGAAAGTACACGAAAAATATGAAACGTGCATGTCTCTTTGCCTCATTGGCGCCCTCACTCATTCCGTCTGCACATTCATGCCGCCACGCATTTCGTTTTCCCGCTCACTCTCTGTGTCTCGGCAGGGGTGGCACATGTGCGTGCCGGCATCGTGGTTTGAGTAAAAGCCAGCGGGGCACTCTTCGCACTTGTCTCCAGCACCACCATATCCAGGAATACATCGACAGAGCGCGGTCGGGTTGATGCTATGGTCAAGCTGTGAGCGCAGCAGATGACCCATTTAAGGGGAAGATCACGTTATTCAATGCTCACGTGTATATCGTTCAATCTACCGCAGACACTCGTGCACTCGGACCCTTGGCCATTTGAGCCCCCGTTCTCGTCATCTGAGTCAGCAGGGAGACATGCAATGGAAATCATGATGTCTCGTCCTCGCTTGCTATCTGCCTACTTCGTTCAGGCCAATTTGGGTTCCGAACAAGCGCCTGAATCCCTCTGTCACGCATAGCGGTCAGCTCAGCACAGTCCTGAACGGCCAAGCCGTAAAGCACAATGTCCGTCACTGTCTCATGTGGTCACAAAGCTGTCGCTCACACCTTGATTTCCATTGTCGTGTTGACGAAGAGCCGCAGATTGGTGTTGTTCTTCAGATTCACGTACGAGGGCCAATCGGAGGGAGAATCCGGCACATCGAATCGCTCCAGGCTATTGTTGCGCAGGTCGATGTCACGCGCCAATTTTTTCAGCGGTTCACCACTCGTGTCAACCGCCGTGATATGGTTGAAGGCGAGAGTGAGGATGCCAGTCGCTGAAATGTGACATAGCATTATTTCTTTTGGCGGTTCTGCAGAACGGCAGAATCAAGGTATGCAGACCTGCCAAAGCTTCGAAGCTGTCTTTCAATGTGACATAGCCCTGCTTTAGGCAATACAGGGGACAAGAAATGTGCTGTGTTTGTGCGTGTGTGGGCGTGTCTTGAGCACTGCTTACTGCCGAGCCACTCCATTCCACGGGTCGGCTGTCGACCAGCTCTTGAACGTCATCTCTGTCGAAGTGATGGAGAACGGCGCACGTCAAATTTCCCTTTAGCTGACACTCAGTGCAGGTGAGATTTGATAGGCTGCAAGAATAAGACAGAAGACAATGGGCCAATGCACTGGATCCACTCATGTGTCCCATTCACCTTGGCAGAGCCCGGAACCCTTGGAGAAAATCGGTGACGTCGATGTGCAGACTGTTGAAGCTCACGTCGAGCTCACGCAACACAGGCCAATCGGGCGGATCCTTGGCAGACAACCACTCTTTGGCTTCAGACAACGTCGCTGAAGAGAGCGACAAACATGAGTCAGAAAAAAGACTACACGAGCAGGCTATTCACTGTCTTACAGATCCGGTCATTAGCACAATATCCTTTGGCCGTTTCAAACCACTCTGGCCACGTGGTTGCAGTGAAGCTGTTGTTGCTCAAACGGAGCTTCTTTGCAGCAGGAAGGTAATGCCAGCTTGCTGGGATGATGGCAAGGGCGTTGGTGTCAAAATTGATATCTTCCAGGCTGAATAACGGAAATTCAGAAAAGGTCAACGTGCGTTTTTGTGTGTCTCCTTTTCCGTTGCTGACGTCTCGGGGAGGAATCCGTTGCCGGTGAAGCCCTCAATGCGATTGCAACTCAGGTCTACCGTTCTGAGTCTCTTGATAGGGGACAGGGATGGCAGCGTGCCGGTCATATTGTTGTTGCTTAACGAGAGTTTCGTCAGGTTTGTCCACTTGTCGAGCGAGGATGGAAGGGCTCCCAGACTGCCCGATACAGAGTTCAAAGCACATGAGCAGTGTGTCGTTCGGTCGACGGAAAGACCGTACTTGTTGTTGTCAGCGACAAGCTCTTTCAGTTCTGCGCACTCCGCCAGCCCATCAGGGACTGGTCCATTAAACTGTTGGCAAGCAATGTCAGACACAAAATTCACATGCCCTGGTCCTGCTTTTCTAGACCTTGTTATGGCTCAAATGAAGTTTCTTTAGCTGTGGAGGCAATCCGAGGGCGTCCAAGGTCCCCGATAGCTTGTTCCACTCCAAATATAGCTCCCTCAGTTGCGAGAAGTTGCCCCACTGCTCAGGAATGGTGCCATTGAGGTTGTTGTATCCAAGATCCAGGTGGTCTAGGTTGGTCAGCAAGCCCCACTCTGGAGGAAGGCCGCCGGAGAAGCCCTCATCCGCCTTGCCTTGGCTGTGAAGGTCGATGCGACGTATGTTTTTTGCCTTGCTGAGAGATGCGGGGAGGAACCCTGACAGCTGCAATTAAAACAGCAGATCGCCTTTTGCTCTCCAAATTCATGTCTCTCCTTGCTCTACGCGTCTCTTGACTTGCCTGATTTTCTTGGAGCTCTAGCTCCTCGAGATCGGGCCAGTTTGAGCCAAAGCCGTCAGGCAGGCTGCCATATAGAGAATTGCTCTGGAGTCTGAGATGTCTTAAGCGGGTTAGATTTCTGAGAAACATCGGGATACGCCCAGAGAGATTGTTCCTCTGCAGATCAAGGGTCTCGAGATGGTGAAGCTCTCCCAATGAGTTCGGTATGAGACCGCTCAGACTGACATTCTCGAGCACAAGCGACGTCAGATTGTGCCCGAGGGTGGAAGGGATGCTGCCAAGGTGCAAACCGGCCCGCTCGAGCGTCAGGTACTTGATTTGCATCAGGTTGGCGACGGAGAACGGTCCATTAAGCGCTGCATCGGTGATACCGAGCAGCTCGAGGGAGGGAAGATTCAAATAAGGCAATTGCCCGGAGAAGCTCAAAGATTTCTGTGACGAGCCGATGATGTCGAGCGCCTTGAGAGAAGTCAGCTTGTTGATGGATTTGGGGATTGTTCCATTCATAATTGTCCTCCTGATGTAGAGCAGGCGTAGAGACGTCATGTTGCCGACTTCGTCCATCAGCTGGCCCTCAAAAGGCACGCTGGAAATCCACAGACCGAGGATGTGCTTCAGCTCATAAATGTCCCGCGGGAAATCTACCGTCGTCCTCAGGTTCGCCCGCCACTCTGTCACTTCAAATCCACCCCCACGGTTGCCCCACAGTAGCTGCGAGGAATCAATCAACAAACAAACACATGGGGGGAGAGAGAGAGACAGTGTGCGACGCTGTGCGTGTGTGTGTGTTTGTGTTTGTGTGCGTGTGTGGGTTGCTGACCAGCAGATACCCCTCAGCCCCGTCAGGCAGGCGGATGCACACAATGAACGAGGCATTACAGAAGTCCACCGCAAAGGCGCTCCTGTCAGTCTCGTTGACGAGACCAATCTTCGCTAGCAACCTGCTGAGTGCATCAGCATCCGCCTGGCAAGGACCACACTCAGAGGTTGAGAGGTCTTCCATTTCGTCCAGTGGCAGGATGAGTGAGGTGCGGGATGAATTGCCCGTTGCGGTGACCGTGGGCCGGAAGACCACTAAATCAGAGAGCAGATCCCACTTGTCGCAGCGTGTCCACTTGCCGTGCCACTGGCAGCTCCCGCTCGGTTGCTGAGCCCGTCGTGTCAGCAGACCCCGACGACCCCTCGAAGGGGCCGCTTGGACACTGAGAAGAGCCGCGAGAAGAAGCTGCACAAGCCGAAAAGAACAATCCATCATCGCCAACCACCTGCCTAAGCCACTGGCAGAAGCATCATCTTGCCCCAAGCCCCCATCGCCCCCATCATTGTCTGGGTTTCATACCCTGCAACCCCAGAAACCCTGCTGCCAACAGTGAGTCGCCTCAAAACATCTTCTCCTGCCATTATCATCGGTACGCATATGCACTTAAGTCCATCAGCGACCAGCAATATGAAGAACACTCAGTGACAAACCACTGGATGCAGAATTCGCTATATTGAGAAATGGAGTTTTATACTGAAGTCGGAGTTCTGACATTTGCTCCACGAAACGCTTGCAGTGCGTCATCAATCACTATTTCGACGTATGCCAATCATTCTATCGATCACGACATACCACATCCACAAAACTGCACGGAAGCCATGATTTGTATAATAAATGTATGCAGCTAGCGAGCAGCATGGATGACACAGACAGACAGACAGACAGACACACCGGCAAACAGACAGGCAGACAGGCCCACAGGCCGACAGGCACACAGGCAGACTCTCACACGCCAACATAGATGAGACAGGAAACACAAGGCTAGCATCACACAGGGTGGCAGATTGCGGCACTCGGCAAGGCCCAGTGTGATGCCGGCACATGCAAGCGACCTTTCCCGGCCTGCGACATGGGTATCCGGACAGAAGTTCTGGTGGCACGACAGGAAGAAGCTGATCTGGGTGGTGGAGGCACAGGTCGTGTTTGACTCGCCGTTGATGCTGTTGATGTATGTGGAGATGTTGTCGGGGGAGACCTCTCTTGCGCCTGTCATTGCCTTGACGCCCTCCTTGACTTGCTCGTAGGAACGGATGAACTCGGAGCCGTCTCTTGCCTTCTCTTCCGTCTTGCCTTCTCCTCCATGCCTGCAGCACACACCACACATACACGGAAGACACTTCATGGTGTTTCTGTGTGCTGTGCATGAGCAAAAGAGTCGGAACACACACTGGAGGGGGGGCAGGTGGGCTGGTTGGCGCGGCCTCATCTACCCCCCCTTCCGCCGGGCGGAGGGGGGGGTAGATGAGGCCGCGCCAACCAGCCCACCGACCCCCCCTCCCGTGTGTGTTTTGACGCGTAGCTGTCTTCCCCGCATTTCTCGCCCACGTACCCATGCGCAGGGCCTGCACATCAGCCGCTGACTTGATGCCTTCCATCACCTTGACCGAGAAGTAGTGGAGCAGGTCGACCAGCTTGGAAGGAAGGGGCTTGCCGGCGTCGAGATACTTGAGGAACTTGCCGAAGACAACGAGGGCTGCGTGTCGGCCGTTGATGAAGTCGTAGTAGACCTTGCATTCGTGCGTCTGCTCTCGCTGATACACGACCGCGATGTAGCCGGGCGAGAAATTGCTGACGTCGTCCTTGATGAGGGAATCCTTACTTCATCCAGATGCACGAGAGATGCGTCGATGCCCTTGCGTGAGGTTTAGCGACGGCGTAAAGCGTTGCTCAGAGGAAAGCCGTTGCTTTCGGCCATTTGCTCGTCCATCTCCGCTTGGGTCTCCTCAGCTTGGCGTAATGGGGCTGCAGAGAAGCGAGTGTCGTCATCTCCAGGAGGTCGGCATCCGGCCCATCCATCATGTCAGCAGCTGCACGTGATGCTGAAAGGCGTCCTCTACCCTCGGTAAGCCGTTTCGAAGGCCGGAAGCTTCACCCAGATCTGCGAAGCTAAGCTCGCAGTCTGTGAGCTCGAGATGGAGAATGCAGAATGGAGAATGACTTCTGTCACAAAACGTCAAAACTCCGACTTCAATATAAAACTCCATTTCTCAATATAGCGAATTGCAGTCAGAAGGGCAGGCAGGTAGATCAGGCGAGGAAACAACAACAAACAAAAACACATGCCCTCCCATGTGTGTGGCCTCCCTGTCAGGTTTGGCGACGGCGTGAGTCACCTCGGCTTGTACTGTAGGAGGTGGGAGAGGAAGGATGGACGGAACAGCCGTGTTCATACGCACCTGTACTCTTTTGTCTGCAGGTAGTCTGCGGACGGCCGCGGGGTCAAGAAGATGAACAGACTCGGTTGGCTGTTGCCCTGGAAATGCCGTCACGATTATGAGCGAGTGCCGGCCGATGCTGCTGATGAATGTGAGATGGTTTCCCTGCTGTCGGTGGCCATCGCTGGCGAAGATCAAACGCTGCCTGCAGACGTCCTGGGCCTGGTGGTGTCCTTCCTCCCTGTCGACGTCGCTGTGATGACTCGGGCGGTCGGCAAGCCATACAGCTCTCAGCTGATTGACGAGACCTTCCTATGGCGCATCGACAGCTCCCTCGCCCAGCAGCAGCTCACGGGCCTCATCGACGTGGAGAGGGACCGCGGCATCGACCCCTCGGCCCCTCCGCTGCCGCCATCCCTCTCGCGGCTTGGGTATCTCGCTCGCTGCGCCTACGTCATCGAGCAGGCGGCTGAGTGGCCCACGATGGCCACACTCATCAAGGTCGCAGGTGTCTGCGGTGTGGCTGGCCAGCTGCCCCTGGTGCTGTCGGCTGAGTTTATGGCGGCCCATCTGCCGGACAAGGCCATTTTTCACCGGCTTCCGACTGCAATGGCCATCTACAACGCACTGAGCTACGCGCCGCCCGACGCCAACGACGGAGCAGCAGGAGGGTTGCAGCTGAGGGAGGTCGACAACAGAGTGGAGGCCTCCTTGTTGGTCGTGCCGGCCACGATACTGTCTCGGGTCCTGCTTGCAGCATTCTACGTCATCTGCTTGGCGGCCCTCGCGTGTGTCATTGCCGAGACGGCTCTCAAACTATTTCTTCATATGTGAGTATTTCCTTGGTGACGTGGCCACGGGCAGTATCCTATTCTGGGTCACCTCTATCTGTGTGTCCTTGCTGGTACTCACCATGGCCTTCTGCGTCTGCTTCTTGGCCTCCATGGGGATCACAAGTCTCGTCCGGCGCGTCCACAAGCGTCTGAGGCTCGTCCAGCACTATGGCATCGGCTCGATGACATTTCGCATCATCGGCCGGGATGAGCTGCTCTGCTTTCGCCCCTTTCTCTGGCGGGCCTATCGCCGCCTCGACCCGCCCGTCACGCTGGTCAGCTTTGGTGATATCTACCCCTCCTTCAGCTCATTTGCGCTTCACACGCTGTTGTTAGAAGGCGCATTCGATACCACCCTGAGGGTGGTTCTCGAGGGCCAGGTGAACTCGTGGAATGCCAGGGGGGGGGGTTCCTCGCTCTATACTGACGGCTCCTTGAGCGGCCACAGCGACGTCCTGGTTATCGACAGGCGATGGAGCCAGGGAGTCTTATTGGAGATCGTAGATGACATTTTTTTGAGGCGTCGCTGCATGGTTGTGGTCCTATTGCTGGGTGGTGGGTCTGTGGTGGCCTCCGTATCCCTTGGTGACAGGTACATAATGGTCAGGACCACCGAGGTGGAGGCGGCGGGCGGAGAGGCTGTCGATGAGCGGCTCCCTCTCACCATGGCTGCTGTGAGGCGATTCGGGCTGGAGCACCTCATTGATGGCCAACCGTGATGAGCAAGCTGTTTGTGTGCGTGAAGGGCCGTCCAGTCTGACTTACGTGTCTGTGCATGTTTGGCTGAGTGGGTGGATGTGACTGACGACGATTTGTTTACTTGACGTCTCTCACGATGATGCCTTTTGATTGACGTGCCCCTCTCTCTGTGGGGGTGTGGGGGTGTCACGTCAAGAGACCGCGATGGACGAAGAGAACAGCAACGGTCCAGCTGCAGATGCACAGATGCACTGCCCGTGGCGTCATTTCGAGCTCGTGTGTATCGGAAAACGAATGTCGTTCGCTGTCGAGCTCGCGTGGGGGCGTCTCTGCTCGTCTATTGTTCTGCATCACTGAGTCTCAGACGCCGCTACAATACATTAAATCAAATTTTGTCGGTTCACTTTCTTTGTCGGTTGTCGCGGGAAGCAGAGGATGGGCAAGAAGGCCACCAGGGCCTCCAACAAGGTGAGCGCCGTCAGGAATGGCTATGCATGCGAAGCTCAAGGCCGTCTGCAATGCCCAAATGCATCCCTGCCATCGTCTTGTGTTCGTCTCTTCGTTCAGGCGGCCGATGAGCCGAGGCGGAGCCACACGATGAGCCGAGGCGGAGCCACACGATGACCCTACGCGCCAGCACCATCGCGAAGACGGAGGCCCAAGGCGCCACTGCAAAGAACAAGGAGAACCACAACGGCAGGACGGGCGAGAAGGGGCTGGGAGGGGGCGGATGTGGGGATGAAGGGGATGGCCAAGGACGACGAGAGTGTGTTCGTACCCATGTAAGCAACATGCAGAGAGAGGGGGAGAGAGCGAGACAGAGACGTATGGGACACTTCTTATAGAGTCTTCCTCTTGGCTGCTTTATGTCTCTGTGTATGCCTGTTAGGTTGGTGCCTCGTGTTGAGTTGGAGAAGGGCATGCCGCTCGTAGACGAGCACACCGTCCAAAAGTAGGCACATACAGAGTGACAGCCGACGCAAAAAAACCCATACACCAACATACTTCAATGTGATGCCTGCCGGTTCAGGACTCGGTCGGGTCGCATAAAGACCAAGAGATCCATCGACGGTGCTGCTGAGTCGAACATCGCAGCAAGCATCGCAGAGCCTGGTGTGCCCAAGAAGACGAACAACAGTAGGGTCGCCGGGCTGTCAGAGAGTGCCATGGGTCTGGAGGTGTCGTTCGCCGGCGAAAGGGAATATCTGCGCGGTGGGGTCGGCCTGAAAGACATGGCCATGAGTGGGAATGCGGGATACGGCAAATCGAATCTGAACAAGTAAGTAGGGAAGAAATTGACACGGACACAGAAAGACACACAGAATGGATGCTTTAATGTGTCTCTCTGTCTGCCTTTAGGTGCGCGTCACTGCTTGTCAATGAGGCTCCCGAGGCCGTCATACCCCAACCCGCCTCGCCCCGCAAACAGCCCCGCAGCCCCGACAGCAAATCGCCGGCGCACAAGTGCGACAGTGACAACACCAAGAAGGGAAGCCGCCTCGCCGCACCGGGTGGGATTTCGCTGCCACCTGTCGGCCATCGTAGCGAGAAGGGTCCGGGGGACTGTGTGGTTGGGGAGATGGCTGACAAGCAGCCACCCTTTCCAGTGGCTGAGGAGGCCAATGCGCGCCAGCAGATGGGCACGGCGCACAACCTGGGTGACCGCAGACGCACTGATGTGGCCGCCAAGGTACGTTCACCGCACCCGGTGGCACCCGTCACCCAGCCCCCTTCCCACCCACCCACACGCAACACACCTACAGTACCTGTGTGTATGTCTGCAGGTGCCTTGGTTTCTGAAGCTGAGTGAGGACGAGACGGCTGCGGCACTGCAGCTAGTGGACGAGGGACACGAGAAGGGCGAGAGCCTTACAGTGGCCAAAGTCAGCGGAATACCTGTGCTCGGGTACGCCACGCCACGTGTGTGGTACGGTGCCAGCCAGTCAGTGTGAGAAATGTGACATACATGGCCGGATGGGATGGGATATCATATCTCGTCTCGTGTTCGCCTATAGATACGACATAGTGCGTTTGGAGGATCTCGCGTGGCTTAATGACGAGATCGTCAACATCATATTCGCCCCCGCCGAGAGATGGCTCAGGGCACAGGCCGCGGAGGGGAAATGGTACGCTGCCCCCACCCACCCACCCACACACCCACACACAACACACCACACCCTTCATCCACGCGCTGCTTTGCTTTGTGTGTGTGTTGCCTCCATGGATGGATGGATGGCTGGCTTGGCTTGGCTTGGCCAGTGTTCCGAAGGTGTAGATCCCGAACTCGTTCTTCTGGCACAAGCTGTCCAACCCCAGTGCGACAGGCTTCAACTACGATTACCAGAACGTCCGCCGCTGGTCGACCGAAAAGAAGGTATGTGTGTGTGCTGGCTGGCTGATTGACCTATCTCACCTGATGATCACAACACGCAGCATACATATCCTTTGTTGGGTGTGTGGATGTCTTGTTGACACGAACGCAATCGATGTCAGGTCAATGTGTTTGAGCTGGACTACCTGCTGGTGCCCATCAACGAGGGCTACGCCACCACGGGGGCCGGCTACCAGGGCACACACTGGGCCCTCGGCGTGGTCGACTTCAAGTACCTACTTAGCATACACACGGCACACACGAATGCCATCCACTTCCGTACCCTCACGTGTGTGCGTGTGTGTGTGTGTGTGTGTCTTTAGGGCCAAGCGCATCCGTGTGCTGGACTCGTTGGGTGGCGGGGGCACCAACTGGCGCAAAGAGGACAACTCCAAGTGAGATAACGAAAGACGGAGGGAGGGAGGGTGGGAGGGAGAGGCATGGCAGACGCACACAGACGACTCCCATGTGTGTGTGTTGTGGCGTCTTGTGTTATGTTGCAGGTTCTATGAGTCCATTCTGCATTATCTCAAAGACGAGCACCAGAACAAACTCAAGAGGCCCATGCCGGATGCACACCTCTGAGACAAACAGAGCGAGGTAGCCGCTCACACCCACATACACGCACACCCATGTGTGTGTCTCCATGTGTGTGTCCTTTCATGTGTGTGCGCGTAGACCAACTTGCCGCAAGACCAATGGGCGTGACTGCGGCGTCTTCATGTTGCTCTACGGACTCTCAATCATCTGCAACTCGTAAGACTCACAGACTGATACCCACCCAGTCACCCACACGCTAATCGACCCACGGCGTGTTGTCTGTCCGTTGATGTGTGTAGGAGTTTCAACGACATCGACGCTCACCGGTGCGCGGCCTACACGCCCCGCCTGACGCGCGACCACACCACCGACCAGAACAACCTCTGTCTGATGTCTGTCTGTCTGTCTGTCTGATGTCTGTCTGTCTCTCTGTCCAGGACAATTGCATCGCTGCCTACATCTTATATCCCGATCGTAACTCTCTCAAGCAGCCGAGCCATCCAGCCAGCCGCAGTCCAGTCCAAGATCGTCAGCCTTAAGATGCGATCGACATGCCCAAGCGCATCGACACACACTAACTCAGTGCGAGTAAAATCCATCCATCCACACGCAACAAGCGACACATGCTTGCACGTCTCACCTCTTTGTCTGTCTGTCTGTCTGTATCCTTAGTTGTCAACCAACACCAGAAGACGAGTCTAAGTCAAGCTTCAACAGGAAAACCGCTCACCGAACAATCGCGAACGCCGACAGAACAGGAGACGTGGCACCTCTATCGTACGGAAGAAACTGGTGCGTGCGGACGGACGCACCATGACACACTCTTCATGTCTCTGTTTATGTGTGTGTGCAGATGGTGAGCATCAGGGACCAGTCTCTGCCACTCGAGTGGGGCGGCCAATGGGGACAGCCGCAGGGGCAGAGTGCCAGTGCGCAGCCGATGGACACTGCGGCGAAGGCCACCAGGTCAGACAGAGACACGCAGAGACACACACACACACACATCTATCCATCCACCCTTGCATGCAGCCCGGAGCCGTCACCCGGCCTCCCGTCGACCGTCGCCTCCCAGGATGATCGGCATCGTCTGTCTTCACCTCCCAACCCACAGCAGGAGCCAGACCCCTTTGCACCTGCAGGGGGCTGCGGCAGAAGTGCAAGAAGCGCGCCCGCAGCCCCTTCCCATCAGCCAGCCCCACAGACAGCGATCTCCAGCCCCTTCCCAAGGTCAAGCGCCGCCCGACGCCTCATGAGAAGGATGAGGCGCCAGCCGTCTTCGGTGGCGTGGGGGAGGAGGTGCTGTGGGGCCCGTTGAACAAGGCGCGGGAGGGCGAGATCGTCAAGGCAGCAGAGACAGCGTACGACCAGACCGGCCTGACCATGGGGAAGAGGGCACCTCGCGGCCAGGGAAGGAGTCGCCAGACGATCGTGTGGGGCGACCAGCGTGTGCTGGGCCGCGGTGCCGCCTGGCCCCAGAGGATGGTGGCGATGATGACAAGATGGATATCGATGAGGGTGCGGGTGCTGCTGGTGGTGATGATACGCTGGAGAGCCTGGCGGAGTGGCTGGGCGAGGGGCGCACATAATCATTATATGGATGAATGGATGCATGGTGTCTATCTATTGTTTGGCGGGAGGGCGGCTGGATGCCCGGCTGGCTGCATTCACGTGTGGGCGATCTGTCGATGGGTAGGGACAGGGAAGTCGATCGAATGGCAGAAGCAGTGGCTCTCTCCGTGTACACTGAAATTTGCACAGACAGTCCTGACATGGGGTCTGTGTGAGTGATGGTTGTGCGCACGACGCTCGAGAGAAGGAGCAATATATATGAGAGAGAGAGAGAGAGGTTCTGCCAGCCTGACTGCCTGTACACTAGAGCCAGCCAAGTCAGACTAGCTGCCTCAGACACACGACGAGACATCCATACGACGTGATGGAACAGACAAGAGATGGAATGGAATGGAATGACAGTCATCCATCCATCCATCCATCCACTTGCGGCGATGATCGAATAGATGCACATCAAGCGTCAAGCCACGTGGGTCCACCGAGCATATATACCGATCATCATCAACACGACCGCACACATTTGCATCAGGCACCACACTTAAAGAGAGATAGCTATAACAGGGATCGGAAGCAGTCAGTATGTACATCGATCATATGTATGTGTATGTGTGTACAGACGGACGTACAAATACAAATACATACATAGACAGACAGAGACACACACATAAGGATGGGAATGACATGAGACAGGCCATCAAGGCCCCCCCCCCCCCCCC